TACGCGGCCACCACCACCCCCTTCACGCCCCTGACGCTGCGGGTGAAGCCGAAGCGAGTTGGGGTTTTTGTGGATTACGAGGCTGGAAAAGTGGCTTTTTACAACGTGACCGATCGCTCCCACATCTACACCTTCACCGACACCTTCACCGAGAAGATCTGGCCCCTCTTCTATCCCGGGATCCGCGCAGGCAGGAAGAACGCGGCGCCGCTCGTCATCCGCTCGCCCACCGACTGGGAATGACCGGGAAGAGCCGTGGCAGAGGGGAGGCGCTTCCACTGGGATTCGGCACTCCCGAGGTCCGGGATGCAGCGATCCCTCCCTGCTGGGATCTGGCTTTCCAAGGTCCGGGATGCAGTGATCCATCCCAGCTGGGATGTGACATCTGGTACCACTGGGATCCAGTGATCCAGCACTACTTGGGTTTGGCTCTTCAAGGTCTGGGATGTGGTGATCCGTTCCTGCAGCTCTCTGACGTTGGTACAACTGGGATGCAGTGATCCATCCCTGCTGGGATTCGGCTCTCCCGAGGTCTGGGATGCAGTGATCCATCCCTGCTGGGATTCGGCTCTCCCAAGGTCTGGGATGCAGTGATCCATCCCTGCTGGCATCTGGCTCTCCAAGGTCTGGGATGCAGTGATCCATCCCTGCTGGGATTCGGCTCTCCCGAGGTCTGGGATGCAGTGATCCATCCCTGCTGGCATTTGGCTCTCCAAGGTCTGGGATGCAGTGATCCATCCCTGCAGCTGACATTGGTACCACTGGGATCCAGTGATCCAGCACTCCTGGGATTTGGCTCTCTGACATCTGGCACCACTGAGACCCAGGGATCCATCCCTGCAGCTGACAGTGATCCAGCACTACTGGGATTTGGCTTTCCAAGGTCTGGGATTCAGCTCTCTGACATCAGGCACCATCTCACCAGCACCAGACTGGATCTGGTTGTGGCAGCACCAGTGGCAGGGGAGGGGCAGAGCCGTGTCCCTTTGTCCAGGTTTCCCCATGTCCCTTTATGTCCTTCTGCGTCTCCTCAGCTCCATCCATGTCCTTCTGCAGCCCCACATCCATCCATGTCCCTCTGTCCGTCTGTCTCCCCACATCATCCATTTCCTTGTGTCCTTCCAGGACCCTTCTCCATGTCCCCACATCATCCGTGTCCTCATGTCCTTCTGTTTCCGTGTCTTCACATCATCCATGTCCCTCTCCATGTGCCCCTGTGTCTGTATCCTCTCATATCCATCCATGTCCCTCTACATGTCCCTAAATCCCTGTGTCCATGTCCCCACATCACCTGTGTCTCTAGGCCCATCTGTATCCTCCTGTATCCATCCATGTCCCTCTACATGACCCCAGATCCCTCTGTGTCCATGTCCCCCCATATCCATCCATGTCCCTCTATGTCCCCACATCATCTATGTCCCTCTACATGTCCCTACATCCCTCTGTGTCCGTGTCCCCATGTCATCCCTGTGTCCATGTCCCTTTATCTGTGTCCCCACATCATCCATGTTCTTCTACATGTCCTTACATCCCCCTGTGTCCATGTCCCCCCATCATCCATGTCCCATGTCCCTGTGCCCATGTCCCCACATCATCCATGTCCCTACATCCCTCTGTATCCATGTCCCTTTATCTGAGTCCCCCATCATCCATGCCCCATGTCCCCACGTCATCCATGTCCCTGCCCCTCCGTGTCCCTTCCTCTCCC